TCACACATTCCAATGAAAGCTCCTTGCGTTGAGCTCTTGTACCACCTACTCCAGCGTCTGTGCTGAGCCGCCCCTTTTCAGCACCACCGCACCTACCATAACGTAGCTGAATCGGGGAAGGGAGGGGGAAAAAAAATTGTCTCCAATGGAAGAAAATTGCCCCGCTGACAGCCCCCAGATTCAGTGTCCCTTACATCTTTTTTCCCAGGAGGCAGGGGAAAATGCCTCAGGGGAGCGCAGCACGGGCGGCCGACGAGCCGCGGCTGGGCAGGAGCGGCCGGCACGGCACCAAGCGGGCTCCCCACTCCTCGCTGCGCTCGCCGCTGTAGGGACCCCGGTTTCGCTTGAAACGGACACGTGTGGCAGGGAGGGCAGCGGGGGAATGCCGGGCGCCCCTCCTCGCCCTGGGAACGCTGGCCTCAGCTCACCGCTCTTCACCACCGGTACGGGAAGCGCCCGCAGCCCTCGCTGCCCCTCCCACGCCTGGCCAGCCCCGCCGCGGGGTCCCACGGCACCCGCCAGGCCGCGGCGCGGGCAGCCGTCGAACGACGGGAGCAGCAGCGAACATCGCTGGGTCCCGCCGCCCCCCGAGGGTCCTGTCTTCGCGCTACCACGACGCGCTGCCCCGCCCCGCCTTCCCCATCGCCCGCCGATAACGCATGTGCCCCGCGCCCGCGGCACGCGTGCGCTCGCCCGGCCTCGCCGGGGGCGGAGCCGGGGCAACGGACCCGCCGGCAGAGCCGCGGGGCGGCGGGCTCCCGGCGAGGCCGACGGGCGGACAGCGGCCTCCCACGAGCGCACCAGGCGGGGGTGAGCGGGCGGCGAGATGAGAGGATGGAGCCCGCAGCACCGTGCGGCGTAAAATGGCTGATCGCCCCTCAGCCGCCCGCACCGCACCCCCTCGGCTGCTGTCGGGAGGGGGCAAGCGGCCCGGCTCGCGCCGGTAACAGGTGGCTCCGCATCCCGCGGCAGCCCCGGGGCGGCGGGGGAGCGCTGCGGGTCGGCCCCGGGCCGCGCAGCCTTATGTAACGTGCGGAGAGAGCGCGGAACCATTTTACACCTCCCGGGGCTGGGGGGGGCACGGAGAGCCCGCGCCCCGTTCCCACGGGGCCGGGCGCTCCGCACCCGCCCGGTGGCGGTGCGCCCTCCCCTCGGCCCGCACGCCCCCGGCACCGCACCGCCGCGCACACACACACACACCACACACCCGCACACTGCCTGCATCCCGCATACACACCCACACACCCACCCTCGCCGCGCCGCCCGCAGCCGCCCGCCCCGCCGCCACGGCAGGCTGGCGGTGCCCGCTACTCACAGGCGTTGGTTACGGCGAAGCTGTTGGCCACCTCCAGGTTGTCGATGTGGGGAGTCAGCCTGAACTCCGAGGTGGAAAACTGAACCATCCCTACCCGAAATGCGCTGTACTCCTGATCGGCGCCCCTCGGGAACAGCCCCCCTGCAGGGAAACACACACGCGTCAGGCGGGCGGGTGCCCCGTCTGTGCCCGGCGCGGGCTGGCTGGGCTGGGGCTGAGCGCCGGTGGGCGCCGCTGCCGGAGCGGCCCGGCGGCGGGTCCGACCCGCGCCTGGGGGCGCGGGGGCTGGGTGGTGAGGCGGGGGAAGGCGAGGGGACTCGCTGGCGCCTGGCGGGCACCGCGGTGGGACTGGGTACGCGGCGACATGACAGGAACGCCCGAGTGACACTGGTGGGGATGAGGGATCGGGAGATCCGCTGGCAGAGGGGTCCCCCCCCGCATGCGGGCACCTACCGATCTGTATGCTGTTAGAATTGACCCCCCAGATCAGTCCCCACAACACAGGAGCCAGGAAGACAGAAATATGCATAATCTTTTGCATTTCCAGGAAAAGTAGAGCATCCACAAAGCCACGGAAACAGCCTTTTCTTCTTCCTCCTGCTTCTCCTCCGCGGAACGCGCTCGTCAGCAAATTAGATTCCGTGCGCTCCGGGCGAAGGCGGCCGGGGAGCAAGCCGGCCGCGGAGCGGGAACGAGGCCCCGGGGCAAGACGCAGGAGAAGCCGCCTTGTACGAGCTGCCGCCGCCGCCGCTCCGGTGCTGCTGCTGGCTCCGGCGCTAAGCGGGATGGAGGGGATGGAGGGATGGAGGTGGCCGGCAGTGCCCGCTGCGCTCCCGCCGCCGCCCGGCCCGGCGCTGCCCTGGCACGCGCTCGCCCGCGCTCCCTCGCACTCAACGGGCGGCGGCGCACCGGGGCGAGGCGGCCGGCGGCGGCGGCGCCTGCGCGGTTCCGAGCGGCGGGGGGCGCGCCCGCCGCGCCCCTCCGCCGCCGCGCCCCGCCCCTGCGCGCGCCCGCGGCGCGCGGCCGCCAACCTTCAGCACCGCGGACAGCGGCCTCGGATCGTTCGGATTGATTAGTTAGTTATTTCACAGCCCTCTCCAGGAGGTACTCTCCTTCCAAATACACCTGAAAAGCATATGTGTATATATATACACATATATATATATATCTCTACTGAACCCAAACCGCGGTAGTTAATATGCAGGAAGGGTTAAAACTATTCAGATATTTCATTTTCATGCATAATGGGGATTTGTGGGGTTTTTTCTTTTCCAAGATGGGTTCCAGCTGTATTAGCTAGACATGCTATTTACTGCAAGCTAAATTTAACATTTCTCAGTTTGGCACGAAGTCTGTCGCTGTGCACCACACAGACACACACACACACACACATCTTGTAGAAGAATAGGCAGTGTAGCATTACTGTGACCATGACAATGAGTTTGCTACTAAATTATCATCTGCTAGCATATTTGTTAATTAATTTATTTTTTGTTAACAAAGATGGGAAATTCCAGGCAGGAGAGGATACTGATCTTGCATTGCATTTCCCTTTTTTTCTTTTTTTTTTTTTTTCTTAGTTATTAAATTATCATGATTCTCCTTTCCAGGAAGAGGGTCTCAAAGCTTCAGATATTCAGATGTCGATATGAGTACATATCCTGAACACATAGGAAGTAGGCATTTTGAGGCCCTTTACCAATCACTAATTGATGATGAGTTTTGTTTCCTTTGAGTCATTTCACCATGAAATTCTGTACTAGCTTCTGTCTGTACTTGTGTAATCAAATCTCTCTCTCTCTCTCTCTCTCTCCCACAACAATGGGTGAGCCTGAAAAAGACAGAGAGCTTTAACATCATGAGTATATAGCCCCTATGGCCCTATCTGGGTGGATACTGCCCTTCCTTGCTCTCTCCCCCAGCCTGGTCCCTCCCAAAAGTCAGGTTTGGTGCTCCATGGTAAAACCTACTGCTCAGTTCTGTGAAAGGAGCAAAGAGTGTCACTGTGTCAATCAACAGATTAAGCTATCAGAGAAAACCTTGTATTCAGGAAGTCCTCACTGTGCCCTGGAAAATGAGATATAGAGGAATTTACTTTTAATAAATACTTTAGAGTAATACTGCCAATCTTTAACAGGAGCACAGATAAATCATTTTTTTTTCTGCCGAGGTCTAAAGAAACCTCTTCTGTATAAAAAATGAGGTTAAAATGAAGCAAATTTCTGAGATGCAAGATTTTATTTTGTTATAATAAATCAAAAAATCATATTTGCTAATATACATTACAGCTGCATAATAAACTAAAATATAAAAACGATGACACAAAATAAAAAATGAAATCTGGAAGGATCTAGAAGGATTTTTAAGTAATCATATTTACAGTTATGGAAAACATTTAAATCTCTAAACTGTTGTTTGGGGCGTTGTGGTTTTTTATTTTGCTTTTTTTTTATTTGGGTTTTTTGTGTGTGTGTGTCATAGAGAACAGAGCCATTCCACATGTGCATCACTGTGTGACAGACACAGTAAGAATAATTCTTGATGATGCATGTTTTACCTGCTTAGACAGTAAAATGTTATTTTATTGTTTATACTAAAGCACAGGTAAATGTTGCACTAAGTTTGGATCTCACTGTACTAGGTGCTACAGAATAAGCAACCTTACCTGAGTCAAACAGTTTATAGATGAAGGTCCTGAGCCCAATTTCTGTCATGCCAGTGCCCTTGCTACACCTTTCAAGTTAAAGACCTGCAGAAGATAGCATAGCAGGTAGGTACAATGAAAGCAATCCAAGTAAGAAGTTAATTAGCAATTACAGCTGAGTGTTCTGTACAGATTATTTGTGGTGAGTTAATAACTGCTGCCCTGGCAATCCAAACTGATATTGCCCTGGCTGTTGATTTTCTAAAGCATATTTTTCCATTTTAGAATTGTGAGCATGTATATGTATATATAATGTAGAATGATGTATATGCGTGTAGTATTTCAAATTTGTATCATCGTGTCAGAACATGTAGAAAAAAATGTCTAACTGTATGGCCATATTCTACTGTTGGTGTGCCAGAGAAAAAGAAATGTGCTCAGTTTCATATGAGTAAGTACAAAAGGACAGCATGGACTAGTCAGTCAGCAAGAAAACAGATTAATCAGAATTTAATAATAGTGAAAAATGCTAACAATAAAAGAAGCCCTTCTTCAACTTTCTATTTTTTTTATAACAATCCTATGCTAATTGAAAAGATGAAAACAGGCAAAGGAGAAAAAAGAAATTTGTAGATGATCGTAATTTATGACCATGTACTAAGAATAGACATACTCATTAACACTGTGCATGAGAAAATCAGATTACATTACTGGAAATCACATTCAATACTTTTTGCACAAGGGAAAAGAATCTAGCAAGAGGTAAGTAAGGACTGTAATTTAAAAACAGAAGATTATATTCTTATATGCATTCTTTTAAATCCATGGTAGAAGCTCATATAAAAATGCATTAGTTTGGAATCTGAACAAAGCATCAACAGGGGGACTGTTAATAATAAGCATCAATCTCTTGTTGAAAGGAACATAGCAATATAATAATACTGAAAACAATGGCGGATGACAGAAGGCCAGATATCAAATAATAAGATGTCAGAGCCCTGAAAAGCCTAAGTGCTTAATCATGATTCCGTAGAACTCCAGGAGAGGTTTGCTATTTTTTGCAAAGAATGCAGGATTCGATCATGGCTATGCTTGATTTAACAGGTTCTAATGGACAATATTCTGAATGTAAGGTAGAGTGAGAAAGCTAAGAATTGGGTGAGGAAGCTAATAAGGTTGGTATACATGCTAATCAGAAGTAAAATATGAATTTATCAGGAATACATTTCCTCTGCAATTTATCCTGGCACAATCCTGGTTGAGACAGTGACACTGTCTCACTCAACCAGTTCAACTAAATGTTCACATGTTTGAGCAGGTGCATATGAGACATGCAAAGAAACTTGGAAATGACTGAAGAACTGGAAATTTTTTCCTTGTGCTCAGAAATATTTAGCGATCACTCCATATACTTGTCAGAAAGATAGTTCAGGAGTGGCTTGATGACATGGAGTACATGCTTCAGAACAGTAAGTTTGATAATATAAAGCATTTGAGGAGATAGATGGAGTAAAAATCTCAGTTGTTAAATGCCGATATTCATCACATTCAGATTAGAACTACAGTTTATCTTTTGTTCTGCTCTTTTCATAATGTGTCATTGACCATGCAGTCACGTGTTGAGCAGCATAATTAATTCCTCAACTCTGAAAAATGCTCAGTTAGAATCAGACTCTTTTCTAAAAATCTTTGTTGAAAAAAGTTAGATTCTGAGAAGGCCCTTGGCTCAACTGAATGGTTATAGTGAGTCCTTTTGGACTTTTATGCTATCAATATTTGGGGTTTATATTCAGAATTATTTTCATTATCTTTTTCATTATAAAAAAATCATAAAATGTGTAGATTTTGTAAAATGCAAAAATGCTGTACCAATGAATGAATACTCTGATTTCATGGCCAATCAATAAATACTACCTTCAAAAGATTGTTGTCTTTGGATTTTTGAAATCTGCAGAATTTTTGCAAATACTCGTGGGTGTAAGTAAAAAGGAAACACAAATGAAAGTTCCAAGTTCCAAGTCTTTCTCAAAGCGTATAGTCCCATATGTTCATTCTGGATCTCAAGAGTCTTTTTAAAAATAAAAAGTACGTTCTGATCTTCCATGCTCATTCTGCTTCCTCTTCTGATAAGCAAACATGTACTGTTCCCATTAATGGTACATATACCCGGGGAGGGCACACTCTAAGGAATAGCTTATGCTGCCTCCTATTATGTGACTCTGATGATGAAAAAAGCAACATCACTACCCTGTGGTACAACTAATGTAAAATAATTAGTAATAGTCGTACAGCTTTCACTTCTCTTTGCTGTGCAGCTGTAGCTGTGACAGTGCAGTTTGTTAACTGCAGTTAACTACAGTGGTTACACTGTAAGAAATTTATAGCAATTTGGGATTGACTATATTTATTTAAGCTACTTGCATTCTTGCTTTTTGCAAGAAGTGTTATATCTATTTTGCCAGTAAAGTCACTTAAGTATATGCTGAATTAACTCTGTGTGTGGAAAATCTGCTATAGATTACTTCAATTTTTTTCTACTGAGATTATAGCAAATTACATTATTAAGCCTCTGGAAAAGGATAAAAGAAACACTTTCAGATTAGACTATGCATGCTGAATCCACGAGTCTCATCTGGCAATATCTTCTTTTTTCTTCCAATGATATAAAAACTTCTATTGCTTTGTCTCAGACCCAAGGGATACATTTCTTATCCCTGTCCTAATTTTTCCCTGCCTACCTGCTACCTCTCATCTTCTTTGCTGTCTCCTTCCTTGCCTGATTTCCATCTGGTTTTCCAATGCATTGCCATCAAAATGTCTTTTTCTCTGTGGTTATTTTGATTTTACCTTCCCAATTCCCCCTGTGGAGCACAGCTAATTCAAATGTGTTGGGTTTTTACTTTCGACTATAATAGTCAGCCTTGATCCTCTCTCTTTTCATCTGCCACCTCTCCCATCTGTTCCACAAGTAATGCCAGCCTTGACTCCAGTGTTGTTTTTTATTCTCATCTTGTTCTTATTCCTTTTTCCATGCCAGCATCTGTGTTTGAAATATCAACCTTAAAACCATTTTTCAGGTCATTTCTTAATCATTGAAATTCTTCTTTAGCCTTGCACCTTTTCTGTCACCTGCGAGAAATGTATTGCTTCATTATTCAGAATGAAAAGCCCTTTGGAGATGATGAAGACATCGGATTTTATATACTGGTGGACTGTTCTCTGCTGAGGTATGGTACTTGTCAAATTGCCAGTACTTGTCAAATCACCTCACTTCCCTGCATTCATAAACAACACGCTAAAATGTTAAAAGGCAAATACAAGCTGACAAGAATGTTAACAGTCTGTTCTCTACTGACATATCTGGGGTATACTTTCAGTGTTACTCACTCTCTGATTTCTATTCACTTGTGACTTGAAACTTTTTTCTGCACAACAGAAGGAATTTCCTGAAAACTAGGTGTTTTTTCCCTCAAGAATCATCACCATGTGATGATCTCATATCTTTGGAATCCCAGGCAATGACACTGAGAAGCAGCTTGGGATCTACAAATGCAGACGGATTGAAACCCAAGGCTAATATGTGCCAGTGATAGTAAAACCCTTGTATATGCTTGCTCACACACTCCTTACAGCTGCACTTAACTTTATGAATATTTGTACGAAGTTGTTTCTGCTGTTGTAGTGAGTGTCCAGAGGTAGAATTTTGAACAAGAACACTGGGCAAACACCAGCCCATGGGAAATGGACTGTGTAATGGTCATTCTCAGTGTGGGGAAGGCACGTTCTTGGTTTAATGTTTCATTCATACATAAAAACTATTCATAAAATATATGCCTACTCCATTTACCTTAGAAACTTGGAGAAATCAGCTGATCTTTTTCAAATTTGAACCTGTTGCAAATCTGATGAGCGTCAGCTACTCGATTTCTTTTTGTATCCCAACATCTAAAATTAGTTCATGAACACTGGACTCCTATTGAGAATGGAAGTTCTGACAGTGGCTTTGCATGCTAATCAACACTATAATTTGTTTTATGACCTCGCACAGGATTCAGGGTAGTATTCACATAAGCTTTGCAAAGATGCTTTCCACTACAGCAGAACTAACCACTAAACTCCTTAATCCAAGGAAGACAGCTTCTCATAACATTCCACAGTGCTGGAGTGAATCTCTCTTTCTTAACTTCTTGTCTGAAACAGTTTTTGTACAATCTTGTTCACATCCTTTGCACAAGGCTTTGAGACCAAGAGCTTTTTGAACAAGCAGGGAAGCTGAAATGGCAATGCCAGGGCTAATCCTGATTTTGGCCTGGAGACCAAACCCATCAGAGGCCAACACTGGGGAGGGGGAGAGGGTAGTGTGCCACCTCCTCCATCCCTTGGTGCTGGGAGCCCGGTTCCAGGCTGCTCGGTGGAGCACAGGCAATTTGGCTAGCTGTCAGCATGGGGAGATATATGAGAGTAACAGGCTGCTTTTCTGCTCCCTCCACAGTGAAGGAGAACAAAATTCACTGCAGTCACCAGGAGAGTAAATGAAAGCTCCATTTTTCTTCTTCTGTAGGGGTGTTTCCCTTTCGAACCTTACAACAATATCAGAAGGCACACAGGCATCAGGTTCCACCTGTATCAATGCCACTAGTCACAGTCAGCCAATTCACATTGAACTGGCAATGTAACATGGTTAAATGTGTCCATAGGTAACTGAGAATTAGGACATAAATTCATTTATAAGCAAATTGTGCAAAGCTTCATTTTTTTTTTTAAATTTCATTTTAAAAATAAAAAAAAGCCCCACAAACCTTCTTTTAAAAAAACACATGTTCATGCTATGGATTTAGTTTAAAAATGGTTATGTTATTACAGTGCATTTTATTTAGATCACTTTTCTAGTTTTATAATTTTCTCAGGGCTTCTGTCAATGGGAAAATAGAGTGAAATTTAAGATACAGTGAGTAAGAGCTTAGACATTGATCAGTCAAATGGTCTCTGCTACAATTTTCAGGGAAAAAAATTAAAAATATATCAATAATACAAAAAATCTCCAGCAAATGTTTAAATAATGTATTTTATGGCAAAAATCAGTAAGAGACATATTGTGGCAGAAATTATACTATGGAGTTCAAGTACTTAGCAACATTAAAAGTAAGTTGAAGGAACAGATAGAATTGCATGAGACAAGATAATAATTTCTTCCTTCAGGAAATATCCAAAAGATTGTTTTGTCCAATTACTCACTGCAGGCATTTTACACTATACTTTTAAAAATATCATCAAAATCGGATATAAGATTAAAAGGACTGTTGTGATTTGAAACATCAGCTCCCTTATCCTTATCATTATGATCTTTCCACAACAGAATTTTCATTTGGGTTCACCATGTACCTGTTTGACATCAGTAATTTTTATTTTAGGAAAACAATTTTGTCAAGAAACAGCTTGCTTGAGTTATCATGGAAATGTACAGAGTTCTGCTCAACAGAAGTTTATTTTTAGTTCTGAAAAACCACTTCAGTGGTTCAGTCACAGAACTAGTTCACAGCAAAGTTATTTTTACTTTCACCTCTGCATTGGTATATCTTCCCAGAGATTAGTTGCAATAGTGTTGCATTAATGGCAAGCTTCTACAGAAGGAAAAAAAGCAAACTAGAAATTTAAGATAAAAGTAACCAATTCTTACAAGGCACTTAATTACATCGTTTGTACTAGAAATACATCTTCTTCATAGTAAATGTGCAGGAAATAGCATTCTTCTAACTGTATAATTGCTTTAAATATAGGGTTTAATATGAGAGCTTATAGTAGAAAAGTTCCAGCTAATATTTGTGACATTAAAGACAAAAAAAATGATGCTGCTTATCTTTACTGAAACTTCATTTGTGCTGTATTGGAAAGTTATACAGATTAACTGCTAGCCATTACTGGTGGTCTATGGAGTTTCCATTTAATCTGAGACTGACCTTGTTCCTTGCAAATTGCATTGCCCTTAATAAGACGCACACGTGGAGGTGATGTGCACAGGTAGCTGGGGTCTGAACAATTTTAAATTTCTGGTTTCCTTCCACTACAGGGCCACATACACAGAACAATGTATAAATGCATCAGGGGCTAAAAAATGAAGAGATGAGCTGTTGCAGTCTCCAGGGCAGTTCAAAAATCGTAGTTAAAAGCACATAACAACAACCCAACCTTGAACTTGGAAACATCACTGTCCTAAGCGTTAACTAGCTACGAAGGATAACATGGAGAGAGAGAGGATTTATGCCACAGCAGGGAATATGTGGGCCAATGACAGGGATACATCATCTCTCCCAAATCCTGGTTGTACCCAACTTGTCAGTACCGGTTACAGCTACTGTGCATATAGTATTAATGCTTTTCTGTTAAATCAAGCAGATCTTCTGTTGTGATCTAATGAATTCAGTTTCCATAATTAAAATTATTAAAAAGTCTTTGTTGATGGTATCTGACATAAATAAGAACACTGAAAGGCATTTTCTGCAGGAGAACCCTCACCAATATTTGCCTGCATTCTGCTGGCTCCCTGTGGTTTTAGTAAGACTAACAAAATAGAACCTTAATTTTAGAGGTTGGTCAGCTGTAGCAAATAAACGTCAAAAGCAATGAAATGAGCTTACCGAAAACACACAAGATTTCCTTTTGAAAAACCTAGGGAAACATAAAAAGATCAGAAACTTCTTGCCTCAAACATGTATCCAGAATCATTGAGTTCTTACTGATGTTTTAATACCAGAATAGTAGCAATATATTCTTCAGATTTTCTTCACAACAGGAAGAGTTGTTATTTGAGGCAGTTAAGGAAAATCACAGATCACACCAGCACTCCAAGCACTACTGCTGAACAAGATAGCAGATTGCAATATTGCTTCTTTCCTTGCTTCTTGCAGCACTGCACATAAATAGTCTGCAGAATAAATGTTTCACTTCAGAGTGGAATTTTCTCCATTCATCATCTGATTATTTTATAATTTTATTAATTATAGTTCATCTCAATTCAGTGCCTCATTAGAAGAACAGACAATTTGGTGTTATTGACAAATGGTTGTGTGATACATATGGATAATCAATTACACTAATATCCCATGAAATGAAAGTGAGGCTAAATGGATTGAAAATACCACCCTTCATGGGCTTCCCCTGCTTTCCTTTTGAATGTCAACCATGAAAGACAACCCAGCAGTAGGCAATCTGTGAGTCAGACAGATGTGTGGCACTCGCTTTTAACTTTCTGTGTATAAAACAATCCCCAGGTGATTCTATCTACACTGCTGTTGGATGACATTCCATAAATGACAGACTGTAGTGCCTAACTGGAACTTCCCACCTCAAAGATTTAGCTAACAAACCCCAGAAACATATCCGTATTATTCTGTATCACTTTTATTAATTTATTTCCTAGTAATTAAGATATTAATTACTATACATAATTACTCACATTAGCAACCTAATAAAATATTAGATACAAAATAATAATCCATTTTCTTTAAAAAAGAGGACATTGTTGTACATTGTATGTTACAACACTTGTTCTGAATTTGCAATTGAAGGAGCTACTCCAGTATGTGATTTATTATCCCGTGGCTCACTCTGTGTCATGGCAGGGGATGATTTATTTTACAGGAAACTGAAAAAATACATGGTATGATATGGATGTACTTTGCAAATACTTGCCAAACTAAACAATAGTAATAATAAAAGGGGAAAACACTGGTAACTTACAAAATTGTAACATGCTATTTTCATGAAGGTTTATTCCTAAGAATGTCATTATATTAAATATAGATATTTATGCTTATTTAAATTAATTTATAAATGAATATATATATAATTTTAAAAGCTACAACTTCCTCCTTTGTTACTCTGCAGAATCTTCTGCAGAATTTGGATGCAAGCAAGGAACTGTGAGGTTATTTTAAACATCTTCTTTAGATGTCAGAGAGAAGCAATATTAAAGGAAAGAATGTGTACATGCACATGGGTTTGATTCTCCTCTGACTATAAATCAGAAAAATTATAGTGTAAAGCCAATGTAAACAAGGGGGAATATCAGGCACTTGAAATCAGAGCCAGACTGCTTTCAGAAATGTTAAGACTGGGAGAATCCAAATCCAGATATCACTACTGTATGTCACTGAATCTATGATTAATAATGACTATTTATTACTATTTGTGTGCATTAAAGTAGTGCCTTAAGGCATTATACAACTTATAGAAACAGAAAATTTTTTGCCCCAGCCACATCCAATCTATACAAAAGATATCTGGAGCAAGAGAAAGCCACCTTGTTGTCTTCTGTCAGTGCAGAGGAACATAAGAAAATAGAGGAAATAATCTGCCAAACTTGCACTGGAGATCTGGGGAAGAGACACTTGCCTCTGCTTACTGGGTACTGTGTTTAGCTACAGACCATCACTTACCTATGATGTCTGGACTTGGGCTGCACATGGAGCCGTGCTCTCAGCTGTGCCCCATGCGCAGTCAGACAACGGCAGTTCTTTTACTGCTTGGTCAGAGAAGAAATAAGTCCATCAACTGAATTCTTGCAGCATGAACTGGCAGAAGGACCATATTACAGGAGAGCATGATGGCTGTGTGCAGATATGATATCAGTATGGACAAGACTACCTGGTCTTTTCTATAAAGTTTTTCTTTTCAGATGAGAAATGAAAACTGTTGAAAGATTCAACGTTATCCTGTCTTTTAAGACTGGAATCTCCTTTCAGACAAAATAATTTATTCCAATTGTCAAAGCTCATCAGACTCTCAGCATGAGGCTTGCATAAATGGGTTTATTCCTAGCTGTTTCATTTGCACACTGCATGAAATTTTTTTCCGATTTAATTTCATCAAGACTTTCTTCACAGACACTAGCAAAGCTTCTGCAAGAGCACTGTAATGTAAAACACAGTATCTCTTCCTTATGCTCCTGTGGAAAAAAAAAAAGTAAACCACAATATGCTGTGGTATGCTTAGAAAAATTCCCATTTTAAAATGCTTTTCCTGAAATAGGAAGACTATGGAAGAATATGGCAAATAAAGTAATAAAGCCATGTTTATGGGTAACAGATAATAAAGTGCTGCCAGGTTGGATATGCCCTTGCTGTTTAAAACCTCCCATGGTAAAATTCGTAACATGCAATATCCTACAGTAGTGGTGTAAAACACTCCCATGAAATTGTAGTGTCTGGAAATATTACTATGGCATCATTGTTGTTATTTTTCTAAAGAAAGTGTCTCTCTGTTGCAAGAAAACTCATCAAGTGGTGAATGTGATGAACACATTATTGCAAAGGCACAGGACTTGGGAAACCTAGCTGTGTTCTCCTCTGGACAGTTTGCATTGAATAGAGATGTACAGGGCAGGTCCTACAAGGAGAGGGGCTCTTGTCCTTGTCCAGGCTTCTGTAGGGCAGCCATCATGACTTCAGCAGATCCTCTGAAACCTTCTTAGCTTTAAGACCACAGTAAGGCAAGAGATTTAAGTTCAGAGAAAACCTGCAAGGTTGAGGCGATTCTCTCCTGCCATTATGCACATTTGTTTATTCTTTTAAGGAATTTATTTATTTAAGAAGTTTTCACCTCAGGAAACAACCAACTAGAAAATATGAAGAATTATTAAATAAAGACTAAAGTTTAATTCCACAAAGTAGATGATAGCTCACAGTGGATGCTGTATATCATTTGTATTTGCTTGAAAAAAGATTGCTTCTGTAATATACTGGTCCTGAAGCACATCCAGAAGGATAATGAGAGCAGGGCTGCCTCAGAAGCTGACACAATCAGACAGATATTTTTAAAAGCCTACAAAGATTTTACACCCTCCAGTAGGCTGGGGTAAAACAGGATTTGTCAGAAGCAGGAGCAGGTAGCAAGACAGGCTTTGTCAAAAGCAGAAACTGATGCTGGAGTGGTATTGGTCAAAAACATTAGTCTTTACAGTCAGTTCCTGTCAGTATTATACCTTTGAAATAGCCAGTATTTAAATTAATGTTTTCCAGTGAGCTGGCCTTTCGGAGTCAAAGAAACAAATAAATTAATCTGGAAGAATGAATCTGCTTGAGACATTGATAAATCTGTTATGACAATGTAAGGCTTATTAAACACTGAGAAACATTATTTCCCTAGCCTTTGGGTCAAATGCAAGTTTTAAGGTTAATAGAGGAAATCAACATTTTAAAAAATGTCACATGGACTACTTTTTTTTTTTTTTATATTCTGCTTTTGACAGGAAATTCATGATTCAATGCACTTAACTCAAAAATATAATGCATGTAGTGAGATGTTATCCAAATATCACAATACTCTGAGTTATAGGGACATAACAGAAATGGTATAATACAGATAATGCCAAAATTTGAGAAACGAGGGTATCCGAGGTCTTCTCATATATTACTGTTCCTCTGTTCTTGAACATCAGCACTTGGCCTGCCTTCATGAACACTGTTAGAGTCACACACACAGTCTTTGCTCTACTGTAAGGAGATGAACGGTAAGATGGATGAAGTTTTTGCCAAGGAAATCACTCAAGCTTGATAAACAGAAAAGCTACACAGTCCTGCTGATTATCATGATGTATGCTACAGGGAAAGAAGGTGGAAGCTCAGGGGCTGCCTACACACAGTTTTTCCTCTCAGCAGCAGTCTCAGTTTCAGCAGAGGTTTTTCTTGCAATTTATGGCGCTAGAGAAGGTTTCCTCTGAGTTGAAAGGTTTTTGCAGGGGGCAATGGTACAACTTGACCTGCTATACTCAGGAGGGTTTCTTGGCCCCAGAAACCTTGTTTGCTACCTCAAGTGAAAAATGACTCCCACTGTGAATATTCTTAGAAAGAAACAGACCTACACAGATATATATGAAAAACTCCACACTATCCACTGCCACAGATTCAGGAACTCATCGGGTAGAAAACAGTTATGCAATACCTTATCCTTTGTACTCCATAGTCTCCATACTTCTTTGTTTCAAAGTATCATATGTGGCCTAAGCAACTGCCTGGTGGGATAGAAATCCTTAGTAACAAACATTGTGTTACTGGTTGGTCTCCATCACAGTAAATCATACCTTCATGCAGGAAGTGGAAAGACCATTAATTTTCTTTTACTAAAAGACGTGCTTAATGCATCTGCTGTCTCTGTGTGACAGTTAATTGTGCCAGGCAGACTTTGTAGATGTATCTCAATATTACAAAGATGAGTTGACTGACAAACTTGAAGGCCCTTCAAACACATCCCCTCTTGGCAGGGAGTCAGTGGTTGCTGGAGAACCAGAACCTGACATGTTGAGAAACCCCATGCTGAAAAGTAATCAGGGAGTGCCCCTCAAGATCAGGGTTGACATCCACAGGCATCTGGAAGCCAAAAAAGACCTATACAGTCTTAGTCTTGTTAGTCTCACTAGTTTCTCTAGTCTCATTATTCGTTCAAAAGACTGTGATCTAATATCCTCTATTAGAGTTAAGGACTTTAAACAGAATGGCTCATAAAAGGGATAGTCTTATGACCTAGACTCAGGAGGCAACCTCGTTCATGCTCAGGTGGGTGAATCCAACTCATTCATTCACGTGTGCATTGGTTCAGGAAAATAAACTGGCATTTTTTTATAATTGCCAGTGAACGCTCTTGTCAGTGCACAAAATTAAACGTCAGAAATCCCATATGTCATCAAGACCCACAGAGAGAATATTTTACAGCGGCATCTTTCACATCACCCGTGGGAAGAATCAATTCTGTCCTAGCACATAGTGCGTCATCCAGCATACACCTACATTTCACAGGCATGGGCTGATAAACACCCACACCAGCTAACTTTAAACCAACCGTTTGAGCGGAACAGCCAAGGCAGCACAAAGCTTAGTGGGGGTTAACACCAAGCATATTTTTTCCTGTCCTAGCCAGCAGGTAGGCTTCCCAGCCAGAGCTCACCGTCACCATGGTGATGTTTCCAGCCCTCCCCAAAACATTTAGTTTAAGGCTAATTTGGATAGGCCTGCATTAGCTGTGGGCATTTCAGTGACTGCAGCACAGACATAATCATAGCAATGAAAGGCTTTAAGAAAGATGTCAAAATAGCCAGGTAATGTTTATTTTAAATGTCTGCCAACACCATTCCCATTGGTGGAAGGAGGACAGGTGCAAGGCAGGATAGAGGCATAGGCACCTCTCTCAAATAAGTTAGAATAGAAAGGAGTGCTGGAAGCAGCCCAGATTGCTTCTGATTGATTTGATACAATGTTGTAGACAAAATCACAGTGATGAGAAATTTATGTCCTTTAAACTGTGCATTTTTTCCTGTATATTCCACTATTAAGTGTAGAGCTTCATAGGAAAAGACTTAGTTTCTGTATCTTTTGGGCACCAAAGATGAGTTTAATTTTCCTTTTTTTTAAAATTTATTCTTTATAGTTATATAAAAATAAGGTAACTCATACACAAAACAATTAAATTGTTAGACACAAATTAAACTGTAGACACAAAAAAAACTATTATTCAATCTCTTTTTATCTGAATTTCTTTCCACATTATCTTCTGTAATTCCGGAATTAGTATACCAGAGCATCAGTAAGAGTGTCCTATCATTCCCTTATCTCCTACACACCTCATTTGTACTCACTGCAGCACTACGATATCTCAATAGCCAGAAAAATCACTTGGCACTGCATATATTCAGGTTGCACTCCCTTGGAAATAAATAATTTAATGCTACCTATTCTATAAATATCCTTATTGCAAGTCACTCAGTAACCATAACGATAAGCTGCTTTAATTGAAGAAGAGACCTGTATTATAACATCTCTTAATAGATTCCCTTAACAGCTATAACAGACTGCTTAAGTAAGGTATTGTCTCTCTACAGAGTAAAATAATTTTAAATAAAGATTACTTGTAAGTGCATTTCCTTTAAATGATTATAGAGCCAGATCAATGACTGTGGTCATGCCCATTGGCACTACCCCAGAAGGCAGTGTTGCTACTTTCTCTTTAATGGGTAATAGGGTGCTAAAGACACTCTCTCTTTACCCTGTTACCAAGTCCAAATTAATTTGAAGACTTTGAAGAATGAAAGCTGCTTGGCAGTGTTTCCAAGCAGTCAATCTTCTGTACGCTGCACTTACAAAAATAAACTCCTTTCCTCACTCAAAGGACAGACTGCTCACATACACCATCTCAGCCAGAATTAACTGAAAAAAAGAGGAGGTGTCATTAGCCACTAAAGAGCTGCTCCTAAAACAGGATGTCAAACATGAGGTATGGATTACAGGGAATTAACACATAGCAGCAGATATACTTTTCAAATCACATCCTTACTTATTGTCTACCTTAAATTTGTGGACGCAGTTAAGAAATGAATTAATTAATCTCCATGGAAATTCCTGATGCAGTGTTTGAATGTGTTCTAAAATCCTGAAAAATGTAGAAAGATAACTAAAGGGCTTAAGAGCCAAGAAAATACCAAGGGTTATGTTAAGGGTAGAACAAAAATTTGTAACTCTCCTACCAGCAAACAGCAGAACTTAAAGTAAATGTCAGCTGAAACACAGATGGCCTCTCCCTCAAAACCAGATTTTGCTGTCATGCGGTTTGTTCAGACATCATGACTGGTTAATCTAGTTACTAGTGTATACTTCATGAACTTCATCTTTGCTACTACTTGAATGTCTTAATTTCTTCAATTTTAAATTCATACTGCATTGCAAATTTCTATAGCTGTACATTGATTCAATGTACATTTATTTTAAATTTAATAATAGTTTTTTTCCTGTCACATTATCACAGTCAGGTGAGATCCTATATTGCCTATACAGTTTTGTACTTGCACCGCATTCTTGAAATCAGTCAACAGGCAGAATTTTACAACTAGAGGGTGCTGGAGGACCATAATGTAAGGTGGCATGCAAAACTTTCAATGACCTTTAGTGGAAAGAAGAAAAATAAAATAAATCAATTATTACTGCTCAGTAGGACAAGCTAATATGTTCCAAGGTAATACAAATACTGCAATATTATCTAGTGTAAGTAAATAGAAAATTAATTCTTTATCTCTGATATTGGTTCATTTTAAATTTAGTTTCAAATTTGCTGTTAAACTTTGCTTCTGGCCTTAGTTTTTGTGCTATAAGGAACAAAAAACCTTTATCTGAACAATATGCATTCCTTTTTCTTCCCTTTGTGTGAGTTGGAAAGCAATTACAGTGTATTATTGATTAAATGTTTTATGATAAAACACAAAAGCCATCAAGTAAGTAGGAAACCAAGAAGGAACAAAGATTAATTTAACAATAAAATTTATAATTGAGATTTTACAGATAGAATGTGGACACTAATTACAGATAAATCATTTAATAAGAGTTCCAACAAGAAAATTATCTTCCAAAATTCATATAATTTCCAACACAGGGTAATTATTTTCTTGCCTTCCAGTACTGTAAGAAAAAATACAAGTATGAGAATAAATAATGTCTATAAATATAGCACTCTGTATGTATAAAAGTTCCCTCTCCCTTCCTTCCTCTCCTATACTTTTCCTTATTGCTTCTTAGGAGTCTTTGACAATTCTGCAATTACCTTCAACCAAAAGAATTATTAAAATTTTGAAGCAGACCTTTAAAATATCCCTTCCCTCAGCCCTGGTTCAAGACAGCTCAGTAACAGCTGGGATTTTTCTTCCATTTCCTTGGATCATAAAGAAATCCAAAGGACAAACTGTGGCCACCTGGTAGAGTGGCTCCCTGAAACCCTCATGAGAAAGTGGCCAGGGAGCTGGTGAAAAACACGTGACCATTCTCTGAGGAGCAGATCTCTTCAACCCAAACATGATAAGTTGCAACCAGCCTGTGGATCACAAAGTGGCAGTGGTTAGAAGAGGCCCTGGGAACATGCAGGGCTGCCAGATGTCCAAGTGAAGCCGGTGTGGCATGCCATTGCTCTTCTTATATTCCCACTTTTGACCTTTTGGTTGTGCAGGCTTGCCACATGTGGACAACATTCTCATGGTGGAAAACACCCAAGTGATGCAACAGTCCGATTGTGGTGGCCTGCATTGGCTCAGCACATCCTGGGCATGCCAGAAATGTAGCATAAGTGGGACTGTTTCTGTTTCCACACTATGGAAGGCCTCATGTATTTAAATTAGTCCCTTCTGAGCCCAAGAGGCGCCAGTAACTCATGTTTCCTCTTATGAATTGCAAAGTTAGTGAGAACTGCCTTATTTTCATATTGCAACTAGTAACATGTACACATGTTGTAACTAGCTGTGGTGCCCCAGCTTTGCAAGCAGAGACATATTTCTCTGTGTACACTCTCATGGGCCGAGGCCAAGTCCCTGTGTTCTGAGAGAACACACGCTACTCAGATGCCTACATACATGCAGCTTCCTTTAGGCTGCATTTCATCGCATGACTTGCCCTTACAACGGATGTACCCTGGCATCCACAGGAGGCTCATGATATATTTAAGAGTCCTAGCCCCTTAGACCTTTGGACATGCTTTCACTCCTACGTGTTAGCTAGCACACAAACGAAAAAGGCATAATTAATGGTGAAAATAGGATTTCATTCTTGACAACTGGTTTGTTTAAAATGAAAGCTTTCAAGGGGATAAACAAAACAAGTCAAGTCAGATGTGTCCAATGCAACAACAACAAAAAAAAGTGACTTACACACTTGCCAGATGCTATAGAAGGACAAAATAATGTAAATGTAATGTAAAAATGTATAACAAACCTCATGCTGAACTGCATCTTGTGATTCCTCCCTAAAACTCCTGATACCTTTAGTCTAGAAAGTGGCTTGTTTGTTTTTGAGATATTGTATCTAGTTTGTGCCTAAAGAAACAGCAGTCAATATTTGGCCCAATGTTTTATTGTCAGCATATTCTCACGCACTTAAGTGTGCCTGCTTCATCGACACAATTGTTGGGTTTTTTTTTCCTAAATGAGCTGATTTTACAAAATTAGTAGTTCTCTGATCTTTATTTTTCCACATAGACAAGATCTGCTTATTTGATGCTGCCTTTACTTACAAAGTCTAAATAATATGAATTACATCTTAGCTTTTTCTTCAACAGTGCCATCTAAAATTATACAAGAACAAGATGTTTGGTGGGTGTTTTTTTCCCTCTGGAAGTCAGCAGAAAAGCTGTTAAATACTACATATACTAGAATACTGATTTTAATAATACTCAACGTGCACATCAGTTTCATTGTCAGAAACACTTTAAATTTCTGTATGTTACTAATAAGTGAAGAGCGTTATTCAGCTTTATAACGTAGTATGCATTGTCCTTCATATATATTCCTAAAGCAGGATGTGTGCTGTACATTTATATACAACGTTGGTCAGAGCACAGACATTGCAGTGTCATGCTTTCATTCAAATTTCAGATGCCATATGTTCAGTACAATCGCACGGCATCAAGATGCAACATATTGCTTTGCAAATGCAAATAATTTCACACAGTGGCCTTCATGACTGGGAAGGGATAATGAAATGGGATATATTTTATACATATGAAAAAAATAAATAAAAGATTTATCATAAATATATGGACCAGTATATGACGTTGAAGAACAAGAAGCAAAAAGGGAACAGTGCTCTTGCATAAAGATCAATTCTCTTTGCTGCTGATGGAATGACAGGCTTGGGAGGAGGAGGCTTCTTGTTGTTCTTGGCTTGAGATTTCCCGAGCCCATTGTTGACTTCAATGGGCTTCCCATAACAGTCATAATTTGATAATTCAAAATCTCTTGGCAAGCTTCCAACGATGCTGAAATCATTGGATCTCAGATCAGATTTCGAAGTGCAAACTTTTTTGCATCTGGTCTCACCAACCTATGAAATAAAGAGTGAGTGGAATCACAATGTACTCACCACATCCCATTAACAAACTTAATGCAGCTGCTAGAGAACACTGCAAACAAACATACAGGAAATTACTTGTTGATAGGGATACATTACATCAGCCTAATTTGCAGAATGGTTACGTTATAAAGTACTTAAGGATGATCAGTCAATCATATAAACTAATCCAAACATTCATAATTGTGTGATTTTTCATGCACAAGATGCCTCATGCTGTGCAATCTGCTATAGTTAGACTCCTTCATTTTAGGATGATAGAAGGGGAGGGAATATTTCTGTGGGGAGTATTTTTGGATATTAGTTCTGTGCTGATGAACCTGCAAGACAGATACTATTCAATACTTGCATTTTTCTGAGGTCTGGAAGCCATAGTCAGAATTAACCCTAAAATTCAATGTTTGCAATTAAATGCAGTCTTTTCTGGTTCTAAATAGTTGCCAGCTAAAGATCCTATACCTCATCCTAAGGTGACTGCCTTGCATAGCGAGAAGGCACTTTCTTTGTGCCTGCAGTACTTGGTGCCTCTTTAAAGACAAGTAACACAGATCTGACACCGTTCTCAGCACTCGCCATCCATATACTGTGTTTAACCAGGAAATCTAAATCCAAATACAGAATACCCATGTTTCCTGTAGCTCCATCAGTACTCTTGGGGGTGAAGTACTACTGTGCTATGCATTGTCTGTTACAGACCAGCCAACAGTTCTGGCATAGATAATGAACATTCAGAAAAAAAATTTATTTGATGCCTTTCAAACTCATGTGGCTTTTTTTTGTGGGGAAAAAAAAAAAGATTCCTATATTTCCTTCCTTAGACTTTATAAAGCTTTTATCTCAGTTCAACACATCTCTAGGAGGACCAACCTCACACTGCTCAGGGAGCTTGAAGTGATTTAAAGACTACTTGCAAGACACTGTGTTTTGTGACTTGGGTAAACCTCTCCCAAATTTCATTTCAATTGGACTACTCAGTAAAGTAGGGGAAAAAAGGGAAAAGAATACAGATTACGAATTTGTTCACATATATAACCCGACCGTTAGTCAAAAAAATGCTGGATCACAAATCAGGCTATACACATGGGCAACTCACATAAACACAAGTTTAACTAAGGTTTCCTAGAGCCACTGGTCCACTAAAAGTTGGTTCTTCCAAAAGCTGCCTGTCCTTTCTTTCCATTAGTCTGTCTCTCCTCCACAGTGCCTTCAGGTATTTTATGCTCAGCTGTCTCCACCTTTGGTTTTCTGCAGTCTTTGGCTGATAGTTTGGGATATTTACATAATTATATTTTTGTAAAATAATAATAGTGAAATACAGTACCAGACTTATGGATGAATGAAAAACATTCTGAAGAATATAATCAGCTTCTCTATGACAACTGACAAAGTATTCTGCATGGAAAGAACTAAGGCAGAGAGGAAGAGACCTAAACTTTGAGTAGGGTTTTTTTACTCTCATTATTGACAATGCTGATGCAAGGTGGAAGAGAAGCATGGCTCTGTTCCCTCTACAAACAGTGGACACACCTCCCCAGATTTGCCAGAGTTATATTTTTCAGGAAAACAGTAAATTTTGAAACTGATACACTAAAACTGAGGCTCAAGTTTGTCCTGACCACAGCCAGGACAGGGTTAATTTTTTGCAGTATGTGGGAGGGGGCATAGCTAGGGCACAGATATTATTCCATACCACCTCACATCATTGCTGTGGGTGGGGTAAAGGGAAGAAGAGGTTCCTTCTGGTCGACAAAACATGGCAGAGAGTTTTCATAGGAAGTTTTCCATGTGAATAATTTCTTTTCTTATACCTTTTGTTATTAATGTTGTTGCTGTTTCTTATCTCATTGCTGTATCCAGTAAATTGTTCTTATCTCAACCCATGATCTTTGCCCTTTGTGCCTCCAATTGGAGGGGGAGGGGGAGTGGTGCATGGTTTTAGTGGGACTACTAAATTGAAGAACACCATTCCTAAACCTCAGGAAGGTTACACACAAAATTAAGATTCCAGGTCACAAAAAAGAAAAACAAGATAGGTATTCCCTGATGGTAAGGCAAAACTACACATACAAATTTCCTGCAACTGTTTCCCAGTCATCAAAGAGCTGACAGCCTGGGACAGTGTTCATTATTGAAGTAGTAGGGGCAAACTGTCTATTAAGGTGGTCACTAACACACAGATAAACATGATTATGTGGCCCTGCGTGACATGATGCTGTTAGTCACTGATCCAGGACGTTCCTTCCAATCAGATCATAACCCAGGATATAGGTAATAAAGATGTAAAGCAGACTCTTGTGCAATGGAAAGGGAACTTGTGAGACTGCGGTGCATGTTAACTGAAGAGTCACAGGAATATTACATTTTTTTCCATGGTCAAAACTAATAAGATTTAGTAAGGCCACTACAAGAAATAGAATCATGTATGAAATTATAAGCCTCCTTTTGGATTTGCAAACTTGCAATGCATTCCTCATACTACCAGCAATAAATTGTAAAATTCAGTGACGCTAATTGTAGCCTAAGTGCTCTCATTTATAACACAGAATATTCCTGTTCCAACTGCAGTATCTAGAGAGTGCTCCCCTAAAGGCTGTTACAAGTCAGTTCTCATTCACTTGCAGGCCTGAGAGAATGAATTCTAGGTCACCTCTGCCTTATAAGCAGAAAAGTGTTCACAGCATGTTCACACAGAACTCTGCTTAGTTCAGTGTCAGCTGGAGTACTGATTTATCAGGGTGACACAATTTTCCTTGTAAGAGTAGCCTGGCCCAAATTTTTCTTTAATAAGTATATATTATTTTTGAAAATAATTTAATTCATTTCCCTGGGTTTACAAATCTGTCATGCTTCCATTTTCTACACTCAGCAACTGCCTAGCCATACTTTCAAATTTCTTCTCATACATCTCTTCAACTCTCCAATATTTCTGTTGTTTTAATTTAAATTTGCTGCAGTTGACTTACAGCTTTCCCTAAACAAAGTCAGTTAATATATATTAACTATAGATAATATATATTTCTCTGCCTTTTATTCATTTTGTCTTAGTCTGTGCTAGAAGCCTAATAATAATCCTAACAATGCCTCTGTTGCTTCTGGTGCTCCTCCTCGCTTTCCACATTTACTGCCCAAACACTTAGCAAAGGCTACAGGAACCATTTCTGTGAAAAACGATACTGCAGGGCTTGATTTTAGAGTACTGCACTGAAGATGTGTAAAGAAAGTAAAGTGTTGTTAAATGATATATCCTTTTGACTTCATCCTGACACAGAAAATATTTGATATCGTTTGCCTTATCCTGCCCATGACTTGTGGGCAGACCCACAGGTTTGATGCTTCCATCGGATTTATGGGGTTTCCCCTGCAGGGGATGGGGAGCAGTTGTTTGGGAAGGGAAGGCTGTTGGGATAGTGTAGGGCCATCCCATGCCCCCAAAGGAACTCGGCATCCATTCCTTGTCCCTCTGGCATGGATGTGAGGGGGCCAAGGGGGACACAGGAACATGACGTGACTCTTGGGGCTTGGACCAAAACACAGACCTAATTCCTTGTTTCTTCCAGGATTGGGCCACCTTGTCTAGGTTTGGTGTGATGGACAGGACATCTGTCTTTTGATGAAGACCTCCGAAGTACCTAAAAATGTGATGATCCTTTCTCACCTTTTACAAAATTCAGGCTAAGCAGTGCTCACTGCCAAGTTCAGAACCTGCCACTGCTCCAGAGCTGCAGCGTGTGTGCCTCTGCAGTGGGGCTCAGAAAGGCTTTGGCTGCAAAATCAGGGGAATAATGTGAGAAGAAAATGGGGAAAGAGGAGAAGGAATACCTGCTGCCTGTGCATGCAGACTGGCAAGCAGAGGGAATTAACTCCCCATCGCTGCCTCTGCTGATTCTGTGCTCCTCCTCACTTTCCACATTTACTGCCCAAACTAGTTACATTAGATTTTCCTTTAAAAACATCCAGAATGGAGAATTTTTTCCATGACCTCGTTCCCCACAAACATATGTACCTTATTTCTAACCTGAATTTATTTGGCTTCAATATTCAGTCATGAGGCATGACTATAGTTAGTCTATTAACTGCTGGTACTTACAGATGGTAACAAATCTAACCTTGATTTTGCATAATTCAGATGATGAATCCAGGCCAAGTCAAATGTTCTTAAGCCAAGTCAAATGTTCTTAATAGTTTCTTACCTTCACATCATTATCTTTGTAAACCTAATTGATAATACTTTAAAAAATTATATTCAGTTTGATTAAATCAATAAACACACATATCAGCTTTAATTTCACTGACCCATTTTAAATTTATTAGCTAACATGGGGTCGAATGATGTATAATGTTAAAGATAATTAATACTTACAAATAATAATTATTAGTCAGCCCCCTGTATGCTATGCAATATTCTCCACTGATTGGTGTCAAAATTATTCATATTTTGCCACTTAGCCTTTAAAAGTACTGGCACAAAGTTAGCTTCTTGCTGTATTTTGGAACCCTCCCAGTTTTAAAGGATTTATTAAAAAATCAACTTTAATGTTCCACAGTACTCATAGACCAGCTCTTCAAAAAATCCTAGATGCAACTTAAGCTGAAATCTTGATTGTAAAACATCTAACTTTAATAGCTATTGTTTAACATTCTCTTTAGCTACTGTGAATGAGAGCTATTTATTATTGGATTGAATATATCTGGCTTTTCCACAAACATAAAGCAGAATATTTGTTCAACACTTTTCCCTTTTCAGCTAATTCTTGATTCTTACAGCATCTCTACCTAGTATAGGACCATTACTCTTCTTACTAGGTTGTGTATTCTTGCTATATATGCAAAGTAACTTCCTATTGCCCTCAGTTATGCCAAGCATATATCTTTTTTCTTACCTACACCTATTATCTACACCTATTTTCTTGATTTCAACTTACATTAATTGTTATCACCTTCCACTTGCCAGTGAGAAGAAAAGAGACATGCTT